GTGTTGTACTTTGGGAACATAAGTAATGGCTGTTATTCACAGGTTGAGAGGTTCTGCATGAAGAATGAACCAGATAACAGCCATACAGAGACAGATTTTTGTGGAGGAGGTGGGAAAGCCAAGTCTGAAGATTTTCCAATTCAGCAGATCTGTCTCTTTTAAAAACACCCTGCCTGCCATATATTTTGTGTCAGGGAAGCAGAGACTGGATGGACGTGGGTCCAAGGTGACAATGGAGGGCTGATGGTTAGACCTATTTTAATGATGACTGTCATCCACCTCATCCCATCCCACCTACTAATATGCCCCCTCCATGTTCAATCCTATTCCCCATAGCCTGCATCACCTTATTTAAAGAAAAGAAAAGCAGAATATTTTTCAACAGGTGTAAAACTTGCAAATATTCAAAGGAACTTGGATATTCTTATACTGCAGAAAGCTAACCTGCAGGTACAGCAAGCAATTAGAAAGGTAAATGATAAGTTGGCCTTTATTGCAAGGTGATTGGATTATAGAATTAAGAAGTCTTGCTACATTGTACTTGGGTTTTGGCAAGACCACGCCAGGGGTAGTATGTTTAATTTTGGTCTCCATCCTTAAGTGCCTGAAGTGATGGGTTTGTCCCATGATGAGAAGCAAAATATATTCTCTGGAAGTCATAAGGAGAGGCAGTCTCATTGAAACTTATAAGATACTGAAGGGGTTTGACAGGTGCTGAGAGATTACTTCGCTGGTCAAGTAAACTAAAACATGGCAGGACGAATTCAGCATGAGGGATTCATCGTTTAGGACTGAGATCAAGGGAAATTACCTCTCTGAAAAGATTGTGAATCTTTAAAATTTTCTATCCCAGAGCTTTGTCATTGAATACAATCAAAGCTGGTATAGATAAATTTTTGGTCTGTCAGGATCCAGGAATGTGGGGAGCAGTGACGTAAGTGAATTTTAAGCCCAAGATCAGCCGTGGTTGTACTCCTGCTCCCAATTCTTGTTTTGTACTTGTATGGCTTCTCTACATCCAATGTTTCACATATTCACTATGCCCCTCATAACCCCATCCTCCCTCATACTCGCCGTGAGACCTCAGTACCTTCTGTCCCTTGTATCCTCTATGCTCAATCATGAGACCTCAGGGGTCATGTCCTTGAAATGAAAATGAAAAAAAAATTACAACAATCTGCTAAAGCTCCCACTCAAGTGCACTTCACACTGAAAACCTTTTCATTAATAAAACACATAAAAAATATACATCCCCTCCGTAATTAATCAGTTATAAAAATAAGTATTCCGGTCATCAACCACATCAAATATAGATAAACACAGATACAAATAAAACCTCAATCAAAATTTGAACACAGTGCAAACACAATACATGAATCCTGTTTAATTAAGCGATTCAGGATCTTTTGAAACTCACCCAAGCATTCATAATGAGCTGAGGTTTAGTAATACACCCTGGGAAATTAAACAGTGATGTTGATTGAAACTGAATGACCAGATAGCTTTTCTTTTCTAAGTAACACCAGATATTCTGTCAATAAAAGCAGTTCAGGAGCAGGTTGGGGATTTTTTTTTTTTCTTTTTCGTTTTCTTTTTCTTTTTCTTTTTCTTCAGGGGAAAGCTACTGAAGATTGATTCTCTTTTAAAAGGACTCTAGGCATTTAAGTCACTTCAGGTCATCATACTGGGAATCTCATGCAGTGTTCTCTTCAGATTTGAATGCATCCTAACGTTTTACCAATGGGAACAGATATTCAGTGCATCACTGCACTTCTATAATGCTGATCAATGCAATAGTTAACTTACCTTTCAGGGATTAAAGCTTATATGCAACCAATTTAGTTAAAATTGATCTAACTTCCAATACAGGATGTAATGACTGAAATGGAAAGAACAGATTTCACTGCCTGCCAGTGAAAGAGTTGAAGGAGCAGGCTCCTGTCACTGTTGGTTCCCCACTTGGTAGTGGTATTCTGCTTTGATTCATGACTCCTTGTAGGTGCCATCAACCACATTTCCTAACAAAAGGCGTACAAGAAGAGGTGTGCAAGACGGACATGGGGAGGGTGGATAGAAAGCAGCTGTTCCCCCTGGTTGAAGGATCAATAATAAGGGGATTAATTTGAAGGTGAAAGGCAGAAGGTTTAGAGGGTATTTGAAAGAATAAAAAAATCGCAGATGATAGTGGAAATCTGGAGTACACTGCCTGGGAGGGTAGTTGAGGTGGCAAACCTCACAACCTTTAAGATGTACTTGGATGAGCCCTTGAAATGTAATAACATTCAAGATTTTGGGCCAAGTGTTGAAAAATGGGGCTAATGTAGATTTAATGAGTTTTTGGTGCAGTCATTATGGGCTGATGGGCCTGTTCTGTGCTACATAAGAAGAACAAAGAACAAAGAAAATTACAGTATAAGAACAGGCCCTTCGGCCCTCCAAGCCTGCGCCAATCCAGATCCTCTATCTAAACCTGTCGCCTATTTTCCAAGGATCTGTATCCCTCTGCTCCCTGCCCATTCATGTATCTGTCCAGATACATCTTAAATGACGCTATCATGCCTGCCTGTACCACCTCCGCTGGCAACGCGTTCCAGGCACCCACCACCCTCTGCGTAAAGAACTTTCCACACGTATCTCCTTTAAACTTTTCCCCTCTCACCTTGAAATTGTGACGCCTAGTAATTGAGTCCCCCACTCTGGGAAAAAGCTTCTTGCTATCCACCCTGTCTATACCTCTCATGATTTTGTAGACCTCAATCAGGTCCCCCCTCAAGCTCCATCTTTCTAATGTAAATAATCCCAATCTACTCAACCTGTCTTCATAGCTAGTGCCCTCCATACCAGGCAACATCCTGGTGAACCTCCTCTGCGCCCTCTCCAAAGCATCCATATCCTTTTGGTAATGTGGCAACCAGAACTGTACGCAGTATTCCAAATGTGGTCGAACCAAAGTCCTATACAACTGTAACATGACCTGCCAACTCTTGTACTCAATACCCCGTCCGATGAATGAAAGCATGCCGTATGCCTTCTTGACCACTCTATCGACCTGTGTTGCCACCTTCAGGGTATAATGGACCCGAACACCCAGATCTCACATGATTCAATGATTCCATTAAAATTGAGTGGGAGAGTTACAATGCCCATTCCTACATTGGAATAGGCAAGTTTGGAATTGCTGAGTGTAGCCTCATTGACGGCATCCTTATCCCATTAAAATCTTATACAATGGGAATGTTGGCACAAATCTAGAATCGGATTTTATGCACCATTTTTAATCCCCTTCACATCTACTCCAAAATGCATGGAGGCATAAAAATCTAAGCTCCAATTTTCTCTTCTGTTCTAAAATGTTTAAGTTCTGAAAATGGCTAAGAGAAATTGGAATGCAAATTTGTAAAGTTTGCAAGTACTCTAATATCAGCAATGCAATCTTGTTTAAATTGTATCTGTATGACATGACTGTGGAATTTATGTGAGGTAGAAATGAAGAGCAGATGCTTGACTGTTGGTCCTTTCTAATATACAGGGGATGAACATTTTGCAAACACTTGCGTGTGTTGATTAACCGTCTAACATCTTTAAATACCTTCCGCTAAATTTTTAAAACAGTAAAAATAAATATTTCACACTCCAAGTTCTGTGAATCTTTGGATTTATACGCCCAGGAGACTCTTGATGCTCAATTGTTGAGTATATTCAAAGCTAAAATCAATGGAACCTTGATCACTGGTGAAATTTCAGGACATGGGGATAAGGTGGGAAAGTGAAATTGAGTTTGAAGATCAGCCGTGGTCTTAAGAATAGCAGAACAGGCTCAAAGGTTTTATGGTCTATTCCTGTTACATTTCTTATATGCTTAAACCAACCATACTTATACACATTATTGAGAATATAACTCTTGTATCCTTAAAGTCTTAAAGAAATACCTTATTTAACAATACATCATGTTTGTTTCCAATTAGACTTTTTTTTGTCTCCTGCTTTGAAGACATTGGTTCATAGTAGAGTACTGTTCCATGAGGACTGGTGACCTGCCAGTACCACAGTCCATTCTAGAAAATGAGTGCTGTCGGCTTATATGTGGAGGCCATTAATAAACTCAGCATAGAGCAAACACCAACTCGGCATACATGGGTCAGCATCACACCATCGTAGTATCCTGGTCCATCGTGGAGGACAGATCTATTTTTAATTTTGGAGGATAAGCACCTACAATGATACTTTCCTCATATATGTGTCCCCTCTTGATACTAGAGAAAATATACATTCATCACACTTTGCAAGTTTTTTCCAGTTTAGCAGTTCAAACTATAGGGCAGACAACTTGGGTGATCTATGTCAGTAGATTTACATCCTATTGCCAGTCTGCGCATATATGACTTGTTTAAGAAGGAAGAACTTTACAGGGCACTGTCAAAAATTAATGGACAAGGAATCTGTTGACTGCAACCACAGGAGCCAAGCCAGTGCTAGTTTAATGAGCAAATGGAGAACTTGAGGGCTTTTAAGCTGTAATTATTTTAGCTGGGATATTTCTGAAATAAATGTGGCAATGGATTTATGGTAGTTGCAACCACTAATCTGAATGTGACACATCTCCCAAAAAGTGTAACACTGGCAGCACACAGATCCTCAAGAGTGTAAAACAGAGAGTATTTAATCCCTGAGTTTAAGACTTACCCTGGCTGTAGTTATTCTTAAGGGATACGTATCCATTTAGAGGGAGCAAGGTAGAAAATTACAATTTGGATTGCAAGTTGCCTGCCTTCTCAGATTGCGAATTGAAGGAGGCTCTGAGAAAAAGTGATCTAAAAGAAAAATGTCTCTGGCCTGTAAGCCTCTGTACACCACAAATTGCAATGATGAGTGAAAATGCCAGTAACCTTTCCATAATAATGTCATTGCAAGTGGATGATATACTGTCTCTGAATTTATATGAAGTCAACTGTACCTTTTTTCTCGTTTCCATATAATCGAATTTTGCCGCCTCGCCTTAGCTGTTACAGTCACAAGATGTCAAAGAAGATGCTGTTCTGTGTTGCTCGATGGAGGTAAGTTTTTATTTCATATTTTCAATGTTAGAGTTCATTCAGACTGCCTTTAAAATCCAGCAGATAATTCTGTCAATATCGGTCTTATGGTGAATCTAATCAGTTTTATCGTCTTTTATATTAGGCTCAGCCATGCAAGAGTCCTGGACAGTTCAGTGTTATGTATTCCTGTAGCACTAAAAGGTTTTTGGCCAGCAGTGGGATAGGAAAATCAGTATTTATTCTGTTTGGTGAACCTTTCTGAGCTCATAATTAATAGCCATTCCTGGAAGTGACAGAGAAGGGGGACATTACTAATCTACTTTCACACCATCATCGCTAACCAAACCACATCAATGATCCCTTGCATCAATGATGCCTTGCATCTGTCTAGTACAGCAGAAACAGTAAAACGGTGAAGTGAAAATGTTGCCATATTTAGCTAATCTAGGTACAACTGGCAATTAAATTACCCTCTTGCGGCCAGAACCCAAACAGGACTAAGTTGGATTTTGAGGATGCTGAGTCATTTTGCATTAACGCAAAACTAGGACATGACTTCATGCTTCAGTTTGATCATAGGGAGAGTTCTTAAGATCAAGGAATTGTACCTGAGTTAACTACTCCCAATATGTGGGCAGAAGATGGAGGAAAAGTGCTTCACAGCATTTGAGTAACTACAAGCAAATGATTGTAGCAAAATTTGAACAATATTTTTAGGCTGATTCTCTCACATTGTGTTGCATGATGTAGGGAGCTGTGAGAAAGTTGAAACTGACAAAAATAGCCAGCTGTTCTCCCTTAAAGCTGAAACACACAGAAAATTAAATAACCATAAAAAGTACCAGAAATTTTTACATTATAATCACAAATACATTACAGTTGTAAGTAGATTGGTGCAATGAAGCCATATCTTCAAATTTATATTAATTGTGCCCAGTTACAATGGATTTTTATTTACGACCATCCTTCCAGTGCCTGAGTAAATGTATGGGCCCAGGCAATGAGTTTTGGAAGATTATTCATAAAGTGCGTTACCTACAATATCCAATTTTTTCTGCACAGATGCAGAGATCACTGGATAGCCATAAGTGGGGGAAAACATGGCTGTTATCTCCAAACACTTCCAAACTGTGGTCCAGTGTTGTTCACCAACTATCACCCTATTTGGGATGGGATAACAAGCATACATCTGACTTTTAATTCTAGGGTCCTTGTATTACTTGGTACCTCAGTAAGTTGTGTATTTGTCACTTAAGCCATTAGAGTTATATATAGTACTGATACTTTCTACTCACTGAAGCAAGGGTGGAAACCCTCTCTTTCAAGCAGGCATCATTCAAATTTGGAGTAATAAAGGAGAGACACGAAAGGAAATAATATCAAATCATCCTAGAAATGATTTTTAATCTCCTCTGACTTTTCTTAAGCATTGTGTTTTCAAACGGTTGACAGCGTAACTTTGACCTTTGCCCTTTACCCATTTGACAGCTGCAGAGCACAGGCAAGCTGCTGGAGGAACAGCTGCCAGAGATGATGACAGAGCTGCTAGCTGCAGCACGCGACAAGATGCTGGGCCCCTCCGAATCGGCGTTGACACGGTCCCTCCTCCTTGAAGTCATCGAGCTGCATGCCAATAACTGGAATCCATTGACCCCTACCATCACACAGTACTACAACAAAACCATTCAGAAATTAACTGCTTAAAAAAAAAACAAAAATATATTGGGGGGGATAAAGAGAAAACAGGAAGGAGGAGGAACAGTATATGGGAAGATGTTGTCTTTTTTTTAATTAAAAAAAAAGACTCTTTACAGGAAAGAGAGAGGAATGTATTAAATTACAAAAAAGGAACAGAAAGATAAGTCCCAGCATGCAGAGAATCATTTTAGGGGCACATTCTTTCATTCGAGTGCCAAGCCTCCCTTGCCCTCTCCTATGTTTTTGATCGTAGTTGATCATTTACACCACCCCATTGTTTGTGGAGGTCTGGAGCTAGCCTGGTACTGTGTTAAGTATGTGTATGTGTGCGCTCAGTGTGCTTTATTTGTTCTGCCATTGTGACAGCCATCTTGCTAAGCAATTGGCAGAAGGTGACACTCAGCAGATGGCCTGGCAGTACAATAAGAAGCACATTCTATGCCAGGCTTGAACATCAATTACTACGTGCAGGGCAGGTATTAAGTTGACCTTTTTTATTTTACACATTTTCTAATTGCTCAAATTTTAGGAAAGGATGCGAGGAAAAATATGAAACAGTTTAAGTTTACATTGGAATCTAAAATGCATGTTCTTTTCATACAAAGCCGAAAATTTTAATTTTACACAGATTCCACATCAGTTCTCTCCAAAAGCTATGCATTTATGTTAAGTGACCGAGAGTACAGTTTTGAATCTTTGTGTTACATTTTGTTTGAAGTATGAAATGATGATGCTTGGGTACTAGAGTGAAACTACCAACGTTTCATTGTCTCAGTGCTACGATTGTTAAAAGCTGAAAGAAGACTTGACTTGGCCTCGTACACTAAAATGAATAATGGTAGATTCAGTATCTAAAGCTATGAAAGGACATTGTGGCATAAATGTGAAGTACTTGCTAATATATTGTTAAGGGAAGGATATTCCCATGAGTTTACAATATTCTATTTAGACTGCGAGTCTACAGTTCATTTCGTGTAATTATTGATTTTTTTTCCCCCCTCAAAGCAGTTTACCTTTATCAACAAGTAAAATGGCTCCAGGTGTTAGATCTGGCTCAGTCACATGATGTGCACAAAGAGCTGTCTCCACGATACTTCTGCTAGCAAAACCAGAAATGGTACATATTGGGAATTGGCTTTGATCATTCTTATTATGTCAGATGATGCATATTCTGAAATGTGCTGAAAGCAGTTTGGTTTCTTGGGGCTGAAACAATGACAAAACAGGTATTTGCTCATTATCATACTGCTGTTTGTGTGAGCTTGCTGTACACAAATTGACTTCCACCTTTCCTCATTACAACAGTGTCTACACTCATAAATGCTTCATAGGGTATAAAGAGCTTTTGGGTGCCCTGAAATTATGCAAGGCACTATATAACTGCAAATCTATCTTTCATTTTAATGTTATAAAATGTTGAGATTTAAATTTTGCAGCTTCTGAGTTTGAACTCCACAGTATGTTGCTGCCTCTAAAACACTACAGACTCTGTGTTAACCTGTGTAATAAATGCTGACTGAATTATCCCACATGACAAGTGCTAAGTGAATCATTTTGTGTAATGTGCGCTGACTGAGCTTGTTTATGGTAATCACCTTGATTATCATTCAGCCATCTGACAACGATTGGTTTATTGTTATTCACATTCAATTGCATGAAGTGTCCAATCATCATTCTCTAGTACGATTCCTGCTAAAAGAGGGAAGGGAGAAAATCTGTACCCTATGCGTGATAACAGATAGTTGGGGACACTAATGATCTAGGGTTCTTGCTAAGTTGTTGTATGAAGATGAACAATTTAAAGCCAACAGTGTCGTTTGTAATGTTTCCAAGGGCCTTATAGAATGTTAGGCTCTTGACAAAGTGACAGAATACCAGTTTTATCTTAGAAGAATGAATTAGAATGCGTTCTCGCTTTTGGTTAAGTCTTTTGAAGCCTGTCAGTTTCTTTTTCTAGCAATGAGTAGGTTTTGATACAGATAAGTCCAAATTCAAATCAAGGGATGAAACAGTCACTTCTATTTTAATGTTATACAAGAACCAGGCACTACAAAAGCAGCTTCAATCTGACACTTTTCCATTTCTTTTTGCATTTTTGCAGTACAACTAGAGACTAGCATTTATTTCTGCTTTTACTTGTAACCCTGAAAATTCCATGAAGATTTGAGTGGGAGTACCATTTGAGGTGTTAAATTCCTACCCTTTACATTATGATATTCAGTATTGAGTGGGAACATCATATAGCTGCTGCTAGTGGGATATTGAAGTCAGAGTGGAATGGAAGTTTTATTTTAATCTGTTTTCACATAGCATTAACAAGGCAATATCAGCCTCAAAATGGGTCTGATGTCTACATTAACCACAATGATTGGGCTAACGCTACCTTGATAGGCACAGTCAGTGGTGCCCAAAGCACTGATCTTGGTTCAGAGGATATACCACTTCTAATGTGTAACCAATTGTCCTAGGACCCAGATATTTTGTTTTTGATTTGTTAATGACGACATTTGAGCATCACTGCCTAGATCAGTATTTGTTGCTCATCCTTAATATCCCTTGAGAATATTGTAGAGAGTCACCTTGAACCACTGCATTCCATGTAGTCTAAATACTCCAGTCATAGAGGGACTTCCACACCTTTCACTCAGTGACAGTTTAATAATGGTAATATAGTTCCAAGTCAAGATGGTACATGGCTTAGAGGGGAATTTGCAGATGGTGATGTTCCCATTCCCATGTAGCCATGTTCTTTTAAGTGGTAAAGGACATCGATGCTGTTGAAAGAGCCTGGGAAAGTTGCAGTAGTGCATCTTGTAGATGGTGCACACTGCTCCCATTGTTCATGGTTGGTGGCTGCATGTTTAACATAGTGGATGGAATGTGATATCAAATGATCCGCTTTGTCAAGGAAGGCTTTGATGGAACTATGCCCAAGCAAGTGGACAGCTTTCATTTCACTCTTGACTTGTACCATATTAACTTGAAAAGATATTCAGTAAGGAGCTACATGAAAGATCGTTGCACAAAAGCCTATGATGTTGGAGTGATGGATTAGCATGGATAGATATTTGGCTAACTAATAGAAAACAGAACAAATGGATTATTTTCAATTGGCAAACTAATCACTGCTGCAGTGATCATTTCTGAGACCTCAGTTATTTACAGTTTATATTAATGATCTGGATGAAAGGACAGTCTGTATTGCAGCCAAATGTGCTGACGGTACAAAGATAAGTAAGAAAGCAAGTTGTGACGATACAATGAGCCTGCAAAGGATTATAGATTTAGTTGAGCGGGATGGGGGTGAAGTATAGTGATAATGTCACTGGAATAGTAAACTAAAGCTAATGCTCTAAGGATACAGGTTCCGATCCAATCACAGTGGTATTTAAATTCAGCTAATAAATCTGGAATTGAAGACTAGTTTTGATAATGGTGACCATGAAACTATCACCAATTTTTACATTTTTAAAAATTAATTCATGCGATGTAGGCATTGCTGGCTGGGCCACTATTTATTGCCTTTCCCTAGATGCACTTGAGAAGATGCTGGTGAGCTGACTTCTCGAGCTGCTGCAGTCCATGTGCTGGAGATTGACCAAAATGCTGTTCAGGGGGAAGTTGCAAATAGCATACATACTGTACAAACAAATTAGGAGCAGGAATAGGTCATTAAGCCCTTCATAACTGCTCCACCATTCAATAAGATCACGGCTGATCAATTTACTATACATTTCCATCTATCTTCACCTCCTTGCACATCAAGAATCTATCTATCTCTACCATAAAAATGTTCAAAGACTCTGCTTGCGCTGCCTTTTGATTAAATGAGTTCCAAAGACTCTCAAACTTCTGTGAGAAAAAAAATTCTTCATCTCCGTCTTAAATTAGTTAATTTTTGAATTGTGACTCCTTAGTTCTAGTTTCTCCCACAAGAGTAAAAATTCTCTCCAAAACAACCCTGTCAAGACCCTTCAAGATTTTATATGTTTCAATCAAGTCACCTATTAAGCTTCCAGCAGATATAAACTGAGCCTGCACAACCTTTCCTCATAAGTCAATCAGTTTGGAAGGAGGAATAGAAAAGCAGAATATTTTTCAAATACAGAGTCATAGAGTCTTATAAGATGGAAACAGACCCTTGAGTCTAACCTATCCGTGCTGACCAAGTTTCCCAAACTAAACCTTCCTATTTGTCTGCATTTAGCCCTTTCCTATTCATGAACCTGTCCAAATATCTTTTAAATATTGTGACTGTACCTGCATCTACCACTTCCTCTGGCAGTTATTTCCACACATGAACACCCTCTGTGTGAAAATATTGCTCCTTGAGTCCCTTTTAAATCTTTCTCCTTTAATCTTAAAAAATGCCCTCTAGTTTTGAACTCCCCTATCTTAAGGAAAAGACTTTTGCTATTCACCTTATCTATGCCCCTCATGATTTTATATATCTCTAAAGTTAACCCTCAATCTCCTATGCTCCAGTGAAAAAAAGTCCTGGCTTATCCAGCCTCTCCTTGTAACTCAAACCCTCCATTCCCAACCACATCCTGGTAAATCATGTCTGCATCCTCTCCAATTTAATAATATTCTTTCTATAGGAGGACAACCAGAACCATACACAGCACTCCAAAAGAGGCCTCACCAACATCCCGTACAACCACAATCCTGTCCCAACTACTACACTCAATGGTCTAAACAATAAATGGCAGATGTGTTAAACACCTTCATGACCACCCTGTCTACCTGTGATACCACTTTGAAAAAACTATGTACCTGAACTCCTAGGTCTGTCTGTTCGACAACACTTCCCAGGGCCCTTCCATTAACTGTATAAGTCCTGTCCTGGTTTTGCAGAATGCCACAACACAGAGCGATGTGGGTGTTTTAGTTCATTTATCCATAATATTAGAATGTAAATATAGCAAGTAATTCAGAAGGCAAATGGAATGTTGGTCATTATTGCGAATGGGTTGATGTATAGAAGCAGGAGACTCGTGCAACCATTCTACAGGGCCTTGATGATACTGCACCTGGAGTGCCATACAGATTAGGTCTCCTTACTTAAGCAGAAGAGGGTCACTCAGCTGTTTCCTGGGATTAAGTGATTATTTTAAGAGGAAATGTTGAGCAGGTTGTGCCTATAGTCTTGGAGTTCAGAAGAACAAAAGATAATTGTTTTTATTAAACATTCAGGGGATGTGGTCTTTATTGGTTGAGCCAGCATTTATTACACATCCCTAATTACCTTTGAGAAGGTATTGGTGAGCTGCTGCAGTTCATTTCATGGATATAGACCCATAATGTTATTTGGGAGTGAGTTCCAGGATTTTGACCCAGCAACACTGAAGGAACAGGGATGTAATTTTAAGTCATAATGGTGAGTTGCCTCAAGAGGAACATGCAGGTGATGGTGTACCTATATATCTGCTTCTTTGATTCTAGATGGTAGTGGACACAGGTTTGGGAGGTGATGTGTAAGGAGCCTTGGTGATTTTATATTTTTATTGAAAATTGTGAGCATCTGAGAGGGCTTGACAACGTAGGTGCTGAATGTTTCTTCGGGTAATCTATAACTAGGGGCCACAGTTTAATAATAAGGGCTTCCCATTTAAGATAAAGATGAGAAGGAATTTACTTTGAGATTGTTTTCCTCAGAGAACAGTGGAGGCTGAGTCATGGAAGACTGAGCTAAACAGAGTTTTATTCCACAAGACAATACAGGGTTATGAGAACTTTGTGGATTGTCTGGAAAGTGATGTTAAGGCCACAGTCAAATTGTCCATAATCTTATTAAATCATGCTACAGGCTTGAAGCGCCGAATGACCTACTGAAACTCCTCATCATTATGGTCTTATGAAAATTATCGGAATCTGCAATGTCCAAGCTTAAATCAATTCCTGTGAGACAAACCACAGTAGCCCAGTAATGATCGTTTTGAAATATTTTTTCTTGGGACCTAAAGGCCAGGAATACTCCAGATGATCTGCCTCTCTTCTTCACCCTTATTTTGCTGTCCTTGGGTGTCTGCCTTTCTTTGGGAGTCCCTCAGGATCAGGAATGACTTTCTTCCATCCAGTATTGAGGGGCCTTAGCTGACTAATTCATCCAGTGTTGGATTCTAAAACCGTGCCACAGCTGGGACAGGTGGCGTTTGCTGAAATGGGTGGGTGAGATTCACAGCTTAAAGTGCTCCAATTGGCCTCTGTTTAAGCACAAGTGGAACAAAATCCAGCCATGCTTTTGTTTTCCTCCTGTGCTGAAACATGTGGACAACTGGTAAACATGACTGAACTAAGACATGTTTGACAAACAGTTAACATTCAGAGATGTGAAGTGTAGATGAGGCACCAGAAGGCAGTCGCTACCTGTGAAATGTTGTCACAGCATGAATTAGTGTATACAAGAGATGTGAAAAAAGGGATAATAAATCCTTACTGCCACAAAATAATTCTACAAGACTCTATTTGCTGATCACACTGTAGTCAGGTTGGAACAATGTAGAATCGTTGAATTCATAATTTCTCTACAAATAATTGATAAAGGCATGCGACCCACCCAGGCTATACAGATATTCAAATGGTGAGCTCCTAATCTTGGCTGAGGAGTGGTAAACTCCTCTAGCATTATGGACAGCAAAAAATAATTTAAAAGAATCCTTTATTAAAGTAGTTCAATACACCAATATGATTTGCTAACTACTAAAGTTGGTTTCATGAATGTTGTAAGTATATGTTGTAAAAGAATGGTGCTTCATGATTTCATACTCAGCAAATTATCTCTGTCCTTTACTCTCATAATCAAACATAAAACAAAACATAAAAACTAAGTTATATGGTGCCTTGAGATTTAACTTATACATACTGGGGAGAGCTTCATTTGTAATTAATTATATGCAGGTTGAATAACTTTGACTATTAATTTTTAATCACTAAAAAGGGAGGCATTTTGCCAAATCTTTTTGTCTTTCACTCCTCAGGACAAAATGCCAAATTTCAAATCATCACAACAATTTATACTACTGGAAAAAAGGGTGTTGATCGTTTGGCAAGAACACGGGCCAAAAACCTGCAATAATCAGTTGAATTTTTAACTGGGTCACCGGACCCGAAATGTTAACTCTGATTTTTCTTCATAGATGCTGCCAGACCTGCTGAGCTTTTCCAGAAACTTCTGCTTTTGTTCCAAATTTTTAACTTGGCTCATTAAAAGCAACAAAAGTCTATTTGCAAAGACCCATTCTCAGCAAACAAAAGGAATATGCTGAAGCTTAGCCTCTTTTTTTTGCATAGTTCAGGAGTTTGGTGAGCCTCTGGTTCCCTGTTTCCACCATGGCAATACCTTGATCAAAGTCAACTTACCAACCAAGCAGTACTCTTTTCTCTAATAGTATAAGTTGTAGTCATTTGAAATTTGACATGCTTGCATTTGTCCTGATGAATACAAGCTTAAGAAGCTTAAAACTTTGACAACATCTCTCGCTCTCTTTCGATAATATTCAAGTTCTGTATTACCAATTGAATATTCATGTTTTGTGTATGTCCTCCATAACCTAACATGAAAGAGGCCACAATTTGTTACATCAGATTTTATGTAGTTAGCTAGTTATGTTTTACTAGCTAATATATTTTACTATATTTTAGTTTTTAAAGCAAAGCAGAATATTTTATAAATAAATATAACCCCAACCCACAACGACCCCCAACTTTCTCTGTATTGTTGACCCATGCAGGGTAATCGATGCACAACAGTTTTGCCCATGGTTTCTTAGTAGTAGTGCTTTGTTTAAGCAATACCCAGTTTAATCATCACAGTGCTTCTGTTTTACTTGTGATACATGTTTGTTTCCTCTGCAGTGACAAATTTGTTGAATGATGCGAAAGGACATTCTTTCTGAATATGACTTATACTGAGTTGTTCCCCTTTTGCTTTATGCCCTATACCTGACAGTGAAAATGTATCAGAAGAGCATTAGCAAGTGGTCGGTGCACGGGGTGGGGTTGGGGGGGGGGGGAAGGGAGGTCAGTTGAATATACTTGCTTTGTTCTGTTGTGAAATATGTTTGTATGTGACAATTATTGCCACTGATAGAACTTCGCAAAATCAGTTTTCAGTGACCTAGATGAGGAAGTTACTCAACAAAATCCCTCACATCCGCAGGTATCAGAATGACATATGATTCTATTTACATGCATGATGTGCATTATCCATTGAAAACAAAATTTGGGATTACATTTTTGTCTTCTGTTGCTTTAGCCAAGTCAGTTCAGTAATTGACAGTTGAATGGACTGGAGTGCGGCACTCAAGGCAGAGTCAATTGTTCCTTAATCCTGAAGAGCTATGCAAGTTGGCAGAGAATCACTGAGAAACAATTTTAAAAGCATTGCAGGGGTGATCAAAATGTCAGTCAGGGAAATAAGATTTTGAGTGCTTGCAAGAGCATTTGGAAAAATCTTTTTAAAGAGACATTGCAAATTTTCAAAAC